TTATTTGTTTTTGTACAAATTAAGCTTTTATAACTATGTAATTACTTATATAAATTAATCAATAAAGATATGAGCAAAACCTCACCTTAATATCAAAAAAATATATATATAAATATTATAAAATTTTATTTAAAAGCTCTAGTATTCACATGTACTTTTATGATTCTTCAAATAGCATACATATATAAAAAATTATTTAAAAAACTTTTTATATATGTAGAACAAGATTATGGATATCTAATTGAGTTTTAACATATATATAAACATGGTATTGGATGTATTTTAGTAGACGAGTATCAGGGTCAGACATTAGATAAATTTGTAAATTTGTTTTATTACTATAATCATAGCTCTATAAAGCACAGTTTATATAAAATCTCTTAAATATATATTTTAAAATTGGTTAATTATAGTTCTAAAGTAGTATATATATATTTTTTTTTCGAATTGCCATAACAGGCAAACTTTATTAGGAGTAATGTTAAATATTATTACATTTTTATATTGTTACATGCTGCAGTACATTTCTAGATCTGTAAGAGTACATCAAGCCATATGTGCAACTTTTGGGTGCCTATTTAAGTAGTCTACCCAAAGGTTCTACACTAGATATCATATCTATAACCCAACTAGGGAGTTATCTATTTAAACTTTCTGATATTCCTAGTCCTGCACTGCCCCGTTTGGTTCAAACCATCTTACCTTGCACAAAGGCCACCCAGGCTGGCATTCCCCCACTGACTTTACCTTTTTATAGATAAACTCTTTGAATCTAATCAACCAGTATTTACCCAAGGAAGGGGCAGTAGATGCCCTTCTAAATTCTTCTATGTCTCACACATTTCCAGATTTGATTTAGAAATACTGTGCTATGGCTTTACCTGTTTTCTAGGGAGCCTGGTTACCCAAGCTGCACAAATCCCCTGCTTTTGTAAGGTTTATTTCTACCTCAGTACCATATTTGAACTTTCTTTTTTTTTTGGATTCTTTACTGATCTCTCTCTTGTTTCTAGCCGGCAACCCAGAAGGGTTGGTCTGCCCAGGCTTTAGGTACCTTATAGTCTCTCTTCCCTTGGTATATGCTTCCAGAGCACATATTCTTTTCCTCTAGTTGGCGATCCAGTGGTTCAGCTGGTATGTCCCACCACTTAAGGACCTGTCACTCAGTTCTCTGGTCTCAGTTTTTGGTTCTGAATTCAGTCTTCCTGTAGCACTGTCAAAAGTTTCTACTACTCCTTACTCAGGTCTTTCCAAACAGGTTTCAATCATCCTGGTTCTTGGTATTTATATGCCAAAGCTCCCATAACAAGATGGTGCAACCATGATTACAGATTGTAGATCCAACTGTTCAATGGATAATCATTACCGAACACAGGCTTAATTTTCAAAATCATTATCTGTGGGATTTGAACTCTAGACCTGCCAATTAGAGAGGTGACATCTAAACCACTTTACTAAGCTGCCACACCCAAAGTAGTATATTTAAAGAGTTATAATTGTATTTAAAATATTTATTTTTTAAAAATATTATTTTAAAATATTTTAGGCTTAGGTTAATATTAAGCAAAAAAATTCTTAATATTTAATACAACAGAGTATTTAGAAAGAATTTATAAGCTATGTACTATATATTTTAAAATATAAAATTTTAAATTTGTATTTATTATTTTTTAATTATAACTATACTAATAAATTTATTAGCATATATATTTTTATATTTTAGATTTATTTATTTTATATTAAATGATATAATATGTTTTGCAATAATTTATTTTGCTACTACAAAAAATTATTAATATTTTATTTTATTTTAGAAATATTCATAATAAGAAAGGTGTAGATAAGAAACTAAAAAAAAGTATACTTATTAATAGAATATAAAACAGTATTTAAAGTTATAAGTACTCTTGAATTTCTTCAACAATATGAAGAACTTGGTGTAGCAAGTATATTTTATTGTAATAACTATAGCTATAAATAATACTTAAATTATATATATAATTTTTTTTATATTGACTAGGTTCAAGATAAAAGACAATTATGAGTACTTGCAAGTTTGTTGCCAGCTTTTACTAAAATATCACTAATGGTTTGGGCCAATACTCCATTTATAACAAATGCAGATGAATTGGCTCATTCAAATATTAATCAAAGTGGTTGTGAATTATCTTTATTAGCAGCTATTTAAAAGTAAATTAATTTCTATATAATTCACTATTTACTTAATTTATTTAATATTAATTTTAAAATAGAGTAAGTAAATTTGATCAATTTCAATAGAGTTTGTTCATATATACAAAAAAATGAATATATCTAATTCGCATCATAATAAATCATCTTTGCAAAGAACTGTTAAAGTGGCTAAAAAAAATTATATGTATTATATATGTATTAAATTAAAAATTTATTAATAATGATTAATTATAATATTTTTTTTAAAAAGAAAAGAAAAGCGTAAGAATAAAGTTTCAACTAGTCAAAAATCTTTTAAAAAAACCCAACCTGATAAAAATAAGTTAACAATCTTACGTGAATCTTCTGAAATATCAATTGAAGATCAAGAAAAAATTTTAAAAATTGAATGTAAAAAACTTAATATTCAAAGGGGAAAAAACCAATAAATTAAAGAGTCGAATGCATAACCTAACTATTTCTAGCTCTTGTGGAATTGTGCAAGCTGAATATATAGTGAATGCTATAGAAGACAACCCTTCTGTAATATCATTTCCAACACCATTAGCCTCTTATAATCCATATACTACATCATCTTTTTACCAACCTACTTCTTCTACTTACTCTTTATCTGATTATGAACTCTTACCCAATTCAGACTATAATCCTGTTGACTTTCAACTTGAAGCAATAACACAAGTAACTGAGTATCTTGGCCCTATTGATTCACTAACATGCTACAACAAATTTTTATTTTATTACAAATTACCCCACTCGAACATGCCCAAACAATACAATCATTTCTTAACTATACCCAACATGACTTTTCCTTATACAATTCACTTCTATATATTAGAATTTCTATACTCAACATTAAAGACAAGAAAAATAACTATACAGAAACAATATTTATCTCTCTCATGAACATTAAATACTTACAAACCACTTTATACCTTCTTTTTAGGATTTTTTACGGTAGTTTAGATATGTTCTACTCAAATCGCATACTTATAACTCCCAATATAAATATTCTAACTTGCATATTTACTCTTAACTATTGCTACTCACAATATTAGAGGCTTTAATATTGCTTCTAAAAGACAAATCTAGCAAGACTACTGTATCAATCATAATATTTTAATAGCTTGCATTACTGAGACTAAAATCTCTAACAAAACCAAACTATTCTTTTGCAATAACAACCTCTACACTTACTACTAGGCCAACTCTCAAAGCTCTATAGAAAAAGTAGCTATTATGATTCATAACTATCTCAAGCCTTATGTCTATAGCTACCTTATATACCCTGGTGAAGCAATTGCACTAGATCTCTTTTTCAAAAGCAATATCAAGCTCTATATAATCTCTGTCTATCTTTCCTCAACTGATTCTACTTATCTTAATCTCACACAAAACACCATTATTAATTAAAACCTTCAAGCCTAGCAACTCAATCTTCAGCCTATCATTCTTGGTGACTTTAATATACAAAATACTACTTTTAGCTTATCATCTAGCTTTAAACTTATCAATTTTCTATACCATTCAAATATATTTAACATTGATGTCTATTTTAATAACACCCAACATATCTAGTTAAATAATACAAACTCTAGTAGAATCGATTATATCTGAACCAACTTTTTCTATATACAGTCAGACCCCCCTAAATGCTACCCCCCTAAATGCAACACCTCTTTAAATGCACGTCTTCTTTTGGGCCC